TGAAGCCTGGCATGCTGATCTTGGGCATTTTTATCTTGGGCATCTTCAGGTGCCAGTCTGGGCCATGGACATCCACATCTGGGGCATCAATGTCCACCTTGGGGCTTTTGATGTCAACTTCAGGAGCCTTTACATCCCCTTCCACCCTAGGCAGGCAAACATCCATATCTCCTTTCACCTTAGGACCTTTCAGGTGCAAATCAATGTCAGGCATGGAGATCTTGGGGGCTTTGATGTTCATCTCAGGCATCTTGAACTTGGGACCTTTCAACTTTCCCTCTGGTCCTTCAATGTTAACATCAGGGCCTTCAATGTCCACTTTGGGTGCTGAGACATCAACGTCAGCCTTGGGCAGCTTCACATCCACATCTGGGCCCTCTCCTTTAAAGCCTGGCATGCTGAACTTGGGCATTTTCATCTTGGGCATCTTCAGGTGCCAGTCTGGGCCTTGAACATCTACATCTGGGGCATCAATGTCCACTTTGGGGCCTTTTAGGTCACCTTCCACCTTAGGCAGGGAAACATCCACATCTCCTTTGACCTTAGGACCTTTCAAGTGCAAATCTACATCAGGCATGGAGATCTTGGGGGCTTTGATGTTCATCTCAGGCATCTTGAACTTGGGTCCTTTTAATTTGCCCTCTGGTCCTTCAATGTCGATATCCGGCCCACTGATGTCACCCTTGAGGTCTGGCCCTTTGAGGCCACCTTCCAATTTTGGAACATCTACATCCACCTCTCCCTTTATCTTGGGGCTTTTTAAGTGTAGATCAATGTCTGGCATGGAGATTTTGGGAGCTTTAAAGTGCATGTCTGGCATCTTAAATTTAGGACTTTTCCATTTGCCATCTGGGCCTTCCACAGTTACATCTGGCATATCAACATCCAATTTGGGGCCTTTGACACCCAATTCTGGACTCTTTAACTCTCCTTCCATCTTTGGGGCAGAAACATCAAAGTCTCCTTTGACTTTAGGTCCCTTTAAGTTGAAATCAACATCAGGCATAGAGATCTTGGGGGCATGAAAGTGCATTTCAGGCATCTTGAACTTAGGGCCTTTCAGTTTTCCTTCTGGACCCTCAATGTTCACATCTGGGGCTTCAATGTCAACCTTGGGTGCAGAGATGTCAATGTCAGCCTTGGGCAGGTTCACATCCACTTCTGGGCCTTCTGCTTTGAAGCCAGGCATGCTGAACTTGGGCATTTTCATCTTGGGCATCTTCAGGTGCCAGTCCGGGCCATGAACATCCACATCTGGGGCATCGATGTCAACTTTGGGCCCTTTAATGCCCACATCTGGCACTTTCATTTCACCTTCTA